TGTTATGCTGGCCGGTGTGATCATTGTTCTGCTGTTATAGTCTTTTGTCATTCGTCCATCAATCTTTGTTGATTAGGGCCCGGAAGAATAGTTAAAGAATCCACATATTGGGCGGTGAGGATGGGTGAATTGAAAAGAATTGTGTGATTTCACTGATTTGGGTTCAATGTGTCATATACGTGGGAATTTGGATACAATCCAAGCATATGAATTGAAAAAAAGACTGGTGATGGTGTGAGCTTTCCAATTCGTACAAAACATTTGCATTGCTTTTAGTTTCATAAGTTTAAAATATATGACATTTATAGATGTTGAATTGAGAGATTTTATATTTTGATTCGTGAAATCTTTCATGATGTAACCCGTCAAATAATCTCCTGGTTAAAAAGTAAACATGGTATTTGATAACAAATTAAATTTATATTCTCAATAGAATATTTTCCATCGGTGTTATAAAAAGGAGAACACTAATCCTTTTTCAACAATTCGATTAGTTAAAATCTGTAGATTGTTTATAATATGGAGATTTAGAGTATCAATTTTCAACCATTCATTTATATTATTTACAAAAACACCACCTTTCTTGGAGAGAAAAAAATAAAACCTTTTCCGATTATTTGACTACGGAAAACAGAAAATGACCGTGTTTACTAAATTGAATTGGAACAATGAACAATTCCGATATTAGGGGTGTGTAACGGGTTGGTTCGTAGCGGACTGCATCAGACCAAATCGATGATTGAATTGGACCATACTGAACCAAATATAATATGTTTCAGTCCTTGGTCCCATTAATTTTATAAACATAGAAGAAAAATGAACCGAATTGATATTTAAACCAGATAAAAATAGACCGAATGTATGTACTGTTGGCCGAATACTTAATTCTAAAATGACTTGCACCGTTGGACCGCGGTCCTCACGAATTTGGACCGGACGAAACGCCCTTCTAGATATCATGTCCTTATCAGCAAGCTAGAGGATATCTAGCTAGCTAGCTCGCTCTGCGAAGATTGAATAGGAACAATGAACAATTCGAATAAGATGAGAGAAGAAAAAGAACAACCGAGCGGGAAGAAAAGAAAGTAACCTTATCGGACCAGATGAGATGAAATCAACCCATCAAAGTGGGATGGACGAACTTTTGTTTGGCTTTTCCCCTCTTTGCCCAGTGCACTGGATTGGTGTGGGCTGCTGACCGAATGCTGATCATCCATTTCTAAGATTTGTTTTCTCCAGAAAATGATAAGTACTGATTGGATATGTTGTGTTGGCCACAAACAATAAACAAGTACTTTTTTTGGCCGTCTGCAGCTAAAAAATCAAATACAAAATTAGAGGTTACGTAGCAATCTGGAGGTTATGGTACTGTCAGCCAGCTTAGTTAATTAGGTGTAATTAAAATTGCAGAAAAGAAAAAAAAAATATAATCAAACTTGAAGTTGATATTTCAACTGTCGAAAGAGAATAAGATGTTACAAACCGCATGTATCTTCACTTTCAAAGAAGGATATAATTCTCCATCCTGAATAACATATGAGAATCAATAATCTTACCATCTAATATTGGTCGTCGGGTTTCAAAAATTTCTATCATGCTAGCTCATTGGTTGATATGACGGAGATACTAAGAATATTCGCGTTCATGGAATTTACGAGATTAAACAGACTATCTACTCATATGATGCATGTTGAATATATATCTTTCTTTTTTAATCTTACGATAACAACGATAATATAATGATGTGTGTTATTGATAGAGGCACGATCGTAGTACTTCTGAATATGGTGCTGTCTCCAGTACGGTATTACAAACTTAGCTCACCGATTCGTAGAGCGGGAGCGGGAGCGAGAGCGCGAAAGCGTCTATTTTACGAGAATTATATTTTGAGAGCGCCTAGAAAGCGTTCATATTATTTTTTTAATAAATATATTACATAATATACTAACAGATTTTGGACAAAGGAACAAAGTTGTATTACTAAACTACAAATTAACTCCATACCTACTGTAAGATAATGTCATAGAGCCAACTTTTGGGCCTCTCATTAGTCATTACGTTTGGTGCGATTGGTTTCATTAAAAGTGGGCTTTGGTTTTTACTATTGCTTAGTATCTATTTGGAGCCCACAAATAAGTACAGATAAACAAGAAGGAATTATTTCCCTCATTCTGTCTTCTTCCTCGCATCTTTCTTCTCCAACTCTCCCTTTTCTCTGTAAAATTCCAAATCCCTAAATTGAGCATGGTCAAATTTCGACACTCCATTTCCCCATCGCAGGGAAGCATTACCGAAAACCCCTCACACTCATCTCTTCTTTCAACTCCACCGCCAGATTTCTCATCGTAGTGATAGCGACGGAGACTGCCAACCCCGTTGCCGCTGCCGCCACCGCCTCCCTCTCCCTCCCACCGAACATTCTAGGAGGTCTCTTATTCGCGTTCTTACACATGTTTCAAGATCTCTATAATCGGTAAACTCATTTCGGTTTGCATGCAGAGACTCAGCCTCTTCCCGCCTTTCTCCATCAACCCAATCGCCGATTTCATCTCCTTCACCATCTCGGCAGTCATTATTGTTGCCACTTCCTCTTCCACTGTCTCTGTGAAATAAATTCGCGAATTTGTTTACAAAATTCGCGCTCCAACAAACATTAATTCGTGAATTTTCTTCGAATCCCCTCAAATTCGCGTTTTCGCGCTCCAAGTCGGGAGCGCCGACCCCTTCCTGGCGAATTGTGTGACCTAATTACAAACCATGGACATACCATAGATAATACTCAAACAAGCTGTAAAATTCGCTTACATTTTTTCTGAACAATATATAAGACAAAAACACATTCAGCCACACACCTCTACAGTGAGTTGTTGACAACTTCGAGTTCCTGTACACTATGTTCATTTGGGAAGGAAAAGGAGGGGAAGGAAAGAAACGGAAGGAAAGCGTCAGTTTCAAAAAACTTTCCCCCATTTTCGAAGCTAGCAACAGTAGGGAGGGAAAGAAAATAGGAGATAAAATCTCCTGTGCAACCAGACCCTCCGAATTGGAAGGAAAACTTCCATCTCCAACGCTCTTTTTTTTTCTTTTTTTCTTTCCCCGTTTATCATTTTTCTTTCCTTGTTTAATGATAATAAATAAATATTAGTAAGTGAGATTACGTGATTTTATTTTATTTGTTTATAATAAAATTAATTCTTTTTCTCTTTCCTTAAATTAAAGGTTTTAGTATTGATCACTTACGGAAAGTAGTAAGTGATCAACGTTGTTTGTTTTTTTATTTAACAATTGATGTTTATGGTTAAACATAATTAGGAAAAGATGATAATGATTAGTGGTTGTAGGCAAAGATAATCACGGAAGCTCTTACTTGAATCAAATATTGAATAAAATAAAAAGAAATAAATATTATTCTGCAATACATGAATAATAAAAAGTAATAATAAAACACTAATCTACCTAACGCATAAGTGCATTATGTTCGGGAGTAGAAATATATTACATCCAACATAGTAAAAATATATTATTCGTTATTTATACCACCAATTACCACATTGTAACGGGATGGTATTTTTTGTCCTGGACATTTTTTTGAAAAATTTGTAGATCTAATAGATCAAAATTCTAGTTAAAAATGGAAGCTGGTACCAAATGATACCAGATGGTACCACTGAACGCGTTCCATCTGTGTCAAAATTTTGAAATCCAAGTTAGAGCGAAAAAGATACAAGTCGAAATAATCCAATTTTTATGATAAATTTTAAATTGAATTAGAATGAACGAGATTTTAAATCGAGAAATATTTTTAATAATAAACTAAATTAGCAAGAAAGAATAAATTTAATTCACTATTCATAAATAACGAAAATAACATCAACACATAACCGATTATTTTACTACTACATAACTAATAAATAACATATATGTCACACTTTCCAAATTGGTAACTTAGGTTGACTAATTTTTAATTGATTCAAATGGGTAAATTTCAAATGATCTATTTTCATACGTCTTAAAAATGTATCTTACCGACAATTCGACTGGAAAAATCTCCTATTGTAGTCTAAACCAATAGATGGTTTAACTAATATAAAACAAATAAGCTTTGGTTACGATTTCGACACAAAAATATCCTACCAAACGAGATAGATGATTTACCTCATACGTAACGTTGTTTTGCACCATACATAACACTGTTGTATGAGATATAAAAACTTGTTACGCTCCTCAAATTTATGTATATGTAATTTGTTGTATGTTTATATATTTAGTTGCTATGTTATTACTCAATAAAATAGTTAACAAAATTTTAGTAATAGGTTGACAAATTTCATTCAAATAACCAACTTTTGATTTGTTGTAGTTAACAAAATTAACAAAGAAGAACAAATTTGATCCACATTACATAATTAATGTAAATAGTATAAACACATAATTAAATTATTTAACTATTCTATCATCAATAAAATATAATACATATCACAATTCCCAATCTACTTTTTCCCTCCCATTTTCCCTTCCACTTTCCTCCATTAAACAACATTTTCTTTCCAATTCCCTCTAGTTTCCCTCCCTTCCAAACTTAACCTCCCCTCCAAATTTTCCTACCCTCCCCTCCTTTTCCTCCCCTCCTTCATGAACATAGTGGTAGTGTCTTTCCGTCGTGAGAGATTTTGTGTATCTTGTGGTTGAGTCCTCAATGTAACGCCAATGTTAAAAAATCTGAAATTATTTATGTTATTTTATTTTATTTTATTTTTGTGAAGGTATTCACCGTAAATGTTGCAGTCCCCATGTCAAAAGAAAGAAGACTACCGGGCCGGTAATCTGCCATTTGGGCTGGACCATTAACGTTAATCTGACTGGACCAAGTGGCCCATGGGCCTTCTGGTTCGCTTGCCGAACTCACAGTTCCCTAGGCAGTGAATTTCTTTTAGGAGCGCTTTCCCCGATTTGGTGCATCGGAATCCGATCTAGACCCAACTTTACCCCAACTGAACTCTCTGTCCAAAATTTCATTACCATCCAAACTTGAATCAAAAGCAGTAACGTCCCTCCAAATCCGTAAACTGAACTTTCAATTGCTTCTCTTGAAGCATTCCATTTCCAGACAACGAAGAAGAGTGTCTTTACCAGGTGAAACTTCCTTCCTTCCACTATTTCAATCCCTCGCTCGTCCTTTTGGGTCAATCTGCTCTGTTCCTTACTCTTCTGCTCAATAATCCGCAGTCCCGCGGAATCTGGCAGCTGAAGCAGGAGCTTCAATGGATGAGAAACTATCTGGGTAGAAAAAATGGGTAGAATCTACACTCTGAAGAACTCAGTTGCATTCGTGGGTCTGCTAGTCTCCGTTTGCTGCATCTTCGTGGTCATGCTCTCACTCCTCCGGCTCCCAGATGTGTCCCTCGGTGGGAACAGAGCAATGATGGGTCCCTACAAGACCTTCAGCAACCGGAAGGAAGTGGTCGCCGGCGACGAGAAGCTCGGCAAGTACGGTGAGATGATGGTTCAAATGCTGCCGGACGACCTTGCTTTCACGGTCTTTGTGCCTTCCGAGAGGGCATTCGAGCGTGACCTTGGGCTACGATCTGCAGCTGCCGACGATGATGATAACAGCTCGAGGAGGAACGATACTTACGCTGTAGTTTCTCGAGTTCTGGGGTTCTCAGCCGTACCTCGAGCTCTACATTCGAGCGTGGTTGCTCCTGGAGATGAGGTTTCTTACGATTCGTTGTCGGGATTGACTTTGTTCGTGTCGAAGGATTCGGAGGGAACGCTGGTCGTGAACAGGATTCCGGCGGAGAGAGTGGACATCAGGAGGAAGGCGATCCTTGTTCATGTGATGGATGGAGTTATCATGGATGCTGAGTTCGAGCAGTCCGTTCAGCCTGATCTGGATGACACTACTGATTGACCATTGCATATAAACTAGTGTATTATTACTCTGTAGTAGGAAGAGGATAAGAGTCTTGTATTTGGTTGGTGGATGGTTAAAATGTGTGGAACGATGGATTTTGAAGCAACAGACGAATCTTTTTAACAACTGTAAGTTATGGATTGTTAGACGGGTTAATAGAACAAAAACACCCTTCTACAAATGTTTTAAAAAACTTGGGAGGCATAAAAGTAAAAGTAGTGGGTGGATTGATCAATTCTGAGGACACTGCCTTGATGGGCATAGACACAATCCATCATCCAAACCATCCCTAAAATCTTCCAAACATTCTATGTCTTACAAGGACGATCGCAAAGACAATGGATGAAGATCAAGCATCTCCGAGAATCAGCCGCAAACTTGATCCTGTGTATCTAGCTTCCGGTGGCAGTTGGTACAGAGACTGGTTTCGAATCTTCAGCTTTCTCGTGTTCTTTGTTGAGCAACTGGATTTTCATCAACATGCGTGTTAGGGATTCAAGTTGTAGTGCCTAACAAAGATATTATCACAACTATAACAACAGGCTCTGTTTGCAGTAACACGATATAAGTAGTCTGACCTTGTTATTGATCAAGTTGTGTAGGGCGATAACGCTTCGAATGACGGACGAGAGGTAGATTACCAACATCATGTCGTTTGTTTTCACTGCCAACATAATTGCTATGGTGTGAATATACGAGCAGAAACTTTACTTCTAAATTGAGCTGTGTTTGTGTCTTACCAGCAAAAGCCTTGATCAACTCGGAAACGTTGAGATTTGGAAGTAGGTTGAATACGTCCTTTGGTAAGGAGAGAAGAAAAACATAATCAGTAAAAGGGAGGTGACATTCATATGGGTTCACAACAAATTATAAGGACTTAACACTAAAACCAAGCTAAGAATAAGAATATGAGGACATGGAAATCACATTATAACCTCCCCATGAAATGAACTGAATTCTAAGGCAAGGCAACAAGAATCAGTCCGTATCAGAGGAATTCAGTTCTTGGTCAATTTTCATGGAGAAAAGATCAACAGAAAATATTATGCAACTAGGATAGAAAAGTTCTCAGATTATCAGTTAAAATGGATCCAAAGAGGAGTCGAACCTGCAAATGGTACAGAATCTCATGATTCAAAGGAAGCTTTCCATCAATAACAAGGTCTAGATAACCTCTTATTTCTTTGAGCCTTGCATCTAAGCCTTTCAAGGCAGTAAGTTTGCCAGTCACCTACATGGAACCCGACAAACGAGATAAGTGCTCACAGCTCAGCAGAAAATTTGAAGGAAACAAGACAGATGAGCTTTAACCAGACAAGTCACCTCAGTTGCAAGGGTGCTTATAGTTGTGTCCTTAACATCCCGAAGTAGATGTTCCACACCTGTGATAAAGAAGGCACAAGAAAGAGATGGAATTTCAGTATAAAAAAAATGGCTACCTGCAAGCACAAGGTGATCTTTAAAAATGTTTTGACTTGGAAGTAATAGAACTCTGGATTGGAGACGCTATAACCGATTTCCTCAACCTCATGAGCTGCAATTTCTGATTGCACATGCACAAATACCTTCTGACTTTTCTGCGTTGCATTCTGCAATTATTAACAAACATTAGCTTAAGCATCTCAATCTTTAACTCCTTTTGTATTCTGCATATAACAGTTCAACCCCCCCCCCCCCCCCCCCCCCCCCCCCCCCAAAAAAAAGGCCAAACAACACATCGAACTCTCAATTTTCCCTTACCTCTTTGACCTCTTCCACAGCATAGTAAGCTTTCGTAGGAATTCCCAGCTCTACTGGTTGGACATCAATTATGACTAGGACAGGGTTTGGAACATAGCTGCGCCATCACAGAACTGACCATTAGAACTCTAAGAAAAACATTCCTCTTGGTCAACATGCATACCTTCAAGTTAAGCATAGAACTACCATATGGTTTTACGAAACTATGAGAAGTTCAGAACAACGCTACTTGCTTTCCACAAACAAAATGTAGCATAAGCACAATTAAAAGCACAAAAACTAGGAAGTCAGAGTAGGCTATCTTACTCGGAGAACAAGCAATGAATATCCAGATCATTTTCTTTCAGTTTTGGACCTGTACTATACCACCCAACAACATGCTCCTTTGCTGCAAAAGTGACAAGAGTTTTTCAATACCGCATTCCCTCCAGAAAACAAAAAAAGAATAATCAACATTGCAACAACTGATACCATTTATTCTCTTGAACATGGAAAACATCGATTCATGGTAGTTGTGGTCTAAAAACCAGATGCTGGGATCCTTCTCATCTTCCTCGAATGGCACTGAAAAGTCGCAATTCAGATATTGTATAAACAATCAGAATAGCATTGGACCTTAAGAATCAATGGCAAAAGAAGCTAGCAGGATACAGGTGAAGTTAAAAGATGAAAAAAGCTTAATTTGGAATACACAACAGTTGAATAAATCTGCACCCATCCCTACATTGCACTAGTATGCATCAAAATCGTTTCTTTGAGACTAATAAGTAATATCGATAGTTCCCAACCATCTCATAGTTATCATAACCATCTGTTAATCGGTATTGCAAATAGCTAACCTTGTGCCCCTAGTCTCACATTCCCCACAAAACCCTAATTGCGAGTATCTACTCCACAACCAAAATGTTACAGAGGCGCCACCTATACTCCCTAGATTCTCAGCCAAATTCAACCAAAGGTGTGAGCAAAAGATAACTGTCATAGCATCAAAACCAAGGCTATATGAATTCGAACCCTAGGCAACAAAGATCTCAGAATACAAGCACCTGTCTAAGCTAGAAACAGATCTGGAAACAAGAAAGGAAAAGAAGCGCGGAAAACCAATACAACAACGAAAAGAAAAGAGCGGAGCCGGCGGAAGAACATTACTGACCGGCGTAGCTGTTGCTGACGTCGACGGTTCCTTTAGAAGCACTTCCGAGTAAGACTCCGACGACGCGTTTCCGAGTGTCCTTGGCAACTCTGTTGTAGTTGTCGACGATGCTGAGTAGAACCAGCGGGTGGACGACCACCTTCTCGATCGGCCTCACCGCAATTTGCTGGGTCTTGATCACGTCCATTGCCGGCGATTCGTTTCGTTCCGATTAATTCTTCGGAGACTGATTTCGGATTCGGTTCCGAGTGCCGCTGCTGGAATCGAGTATTGACCCTTTTTTTCCTTTAGTTTTCTTTTTGGCTGGCTTGTTGGACAGGAAATACCTTCAGTTCGGTGGAGACAATGACAAAGTTAATTGGGCTTTTGGGCCAGATGCTCGTTGGCCCATCTGTATTGTATTTTTAATTACAAGGCCTGGACTATTACTAAGTACTATATGGCGTGCAATAGCCCGATCCAGATTGCGGTATCAAATCGACACTGTATCGTAATTCGTATGTGAAAAGTGAAAAGTGAAAACATTACATACAATATAATTATATAATATATATCTTAAAATATATTAAAGCGCTTTTAGAAAAGTGCCTCTGCCACGTACGCCTTTAAGCGCAGCCCGCAATTCTCGGAATTTTGTATTTTTTTTAACTTTTAATGGCTGCAATTTGTAGGCGGTGGTTATCCATTTTTTTCCGTTCAATTTTTCAGACGTGTTTTGTTTTTATTAAGAATGGGGTGTATTTTCTTTTTCTAAAGTGTACTTTTTATTCTACCAAAAACTCTCCATGGATTGAATTCAGATATAAGTATAACAAAATCTCTTTCCTTTATAAAAGAGTACATCAACCATAAAGTATCTTAACCATAAAAACATAGCAAAATTTAATTTCAAATGAATAAAAATTAATATCTTAATTAGAATCTCAATTTAAATTAATTCAATACAATTATAAATTCATTGTCAAATGATATTTAGTTTATACTCACCCTAAATTCACAATATATATTTATAAGATAATAAATTTGACTATCTTGGTTAGCATCAATCTACTCATAAAAAAATTATTGATTATTATACATTCTATATGTCTATGACCGACTCAATCGATGTTTAATATGCATGGAGTAAAAGTCGAGAATTTCGACTTAAGAACATGTAGTGCTTATGTTACCTTAAAAAAATATTCATTGGTTGGTTAAACCGTTAGCTCATAGTCCAAACTTCCACAAAACATTTAGAATAACACGAGAGAATTTCCAATTTATTTATATAGATATATTAAAAAAACATAATAAATTTAAATATCGAAAATAGTTTAACTATATATTCAAATGAATTGGTCTAATAATCAAATGAAACACATCCCGGCCAACAGGGCGGGCATAAGTCTAGTATGTCAATATCAGTATATAAATTATCAATTTATCACAAACACCTTTCAAGGTTCATCACTGTGCTCGGCTACGAGCCTGGCTATGACAAATTGAGTCAATATTGAAATTTGAAAGAATGAAACTACTCGGGTGTCGGCTACACAAACACAGGTTACCTCTCAAATCGACGGAGAGCCGGAGAGGACGAGCTGCTGGGCTGTGCGGTCGAGCGATTTAACCTCCGACGGCGGTCGTGCTCGTGCGGGCAGGGAATAGAATAACACTATAACAGTCCGATTTAGGTCTAATTACTTGGGTTAGGTCTTTTTGGTGGCCGACGTTTAGTTATTATTCCTACAAATCTTACAAATCTAGAAAACCTAATCGGTGACGGCTTGCTTTTCTTTTCCCAGTCGGTGTGGGAATACCGGTCGGCCGACGGTAAATCACAAATTCGATCATGGTATACCGCCAGCCACAAAAACTCATTCGACTACCGTTTTGCTTCGGTTACCGGTTTAACCAATAACCGTGGTTACCGGTACACGATTAGGATAATTCTTTTTTACCCCTTGGTTTTCCTTTTTAGCAGTGCAGAGATTGTCAGTTTCAAGATAACAAAAATTACAATCTTTACTAAAGCACATAAAATAAATTTTATATGTTGGTGTATGTAAGATACAGATCCTTTCATTAACAAAAACTATGTGTGCAACTATGCATACATTTTTACATTAATACATTTTGATAAAAAAAAGGAGAGAGTTCAAATCAAGGTTGTCAACCCGCGGGCTGATCCGGCCCCGATCGAGATAGTGGGTCAAGGGTTAATGGGTCAACCGATTTAGCCCGGAATATGAAAAGAGTCATTATATTATACTTATCCTGATAAACTATATCAAATCTCATCTATGACATATAATATTCCACCAAAATAACATGTCGTACTTAGATGCAACATATGGTGAAAATTCATACACACTTATATAACATCAATATTCAAATGTTCAACTTAAAATTCCAAATATTGAGTTAGGCGAAATGAAAAATAAAAATATAGACACATTTTTACATTAAAATTCCAACCCGGTACCTTGTAGCGGTCGACCCGACGTGTGCATACGGCCCGTTTTTCTCACCGGATCAGGATCAAAGTGGATCGACCCGCGGATTGACAACCTTGGATAAAAAACACTCCAAAAGTGTGTAATCCATATAATCTATGGGGTTGGGTGAACTGACAGCTTTTGACAATCACCAAAAGCAGCAAGGCAGGCTGCAGGAATGGATCGTATAAATTCAAAAGTGGGATTTGGCTGGCAAACGGACACCAGAAAGTCGAGACTTTCACACACCTAAGAGACTTGCAAAGGAAATTACGTGATGTTTCCTCTCACAATCCTCAAGGAGAATCCTCCAGATGTGAACGGAGATCTGCAGAGCGCGGTAGTAGAAGGATGCAAGAAATTTCAACGTTGGAGGCATTCAAGATCTTAATTAAACCCAATGCACGGAAATCTTAATCACTGCTACTTCTTTATTATTCGATTAATTGTATATTGGATCAACTATATATTTATATATATGTGTATGTGCATGGACCGGCCGGCCGGCAGCAGTCGTCTTTGTTTGTGGAGTCCGAGGAGGGACAGACATTTCTTTTGTGATCGGTAAACCAAACACTCCAAATTCCCAGGCAGACCCTCCTCCTCCTACACCAACAATTTGATGAAATCAAAATCAAACAGCGTATGCCCAGAGAAATTAATTAATCCTAATTACCGGGGGAAAATTAATTAATCCTTTTTGGTTTACCATCATTTCTTGTTTTTCTCTCTATTAAGTAGTAATTAGTCTTCCATGATGAAATATTTATATTCTAATAGCATGCTATGATGAATACTATTTAACCGCTCAAATCGGTCGAACCGTGCAGCCAGTTAAAAGTCCAAAACCAGCCAAATTGGAAAACTAAGTCCATCGATAGTGCTATAATAACACGTCAAATGAATGATGCCTCAATGTGTTTGCCTATAGGTGGCAATTAGGGTCCATATCCATGCATGAATCCAATCCAATCCATTTGATCCAAATTCGACTGGATTGGTGGATTCATGGGTTGTTCCATGGATCCAAATGACAATATACATTTTAGTACCTATATTTTTTATATTTTACATTTTGGTACCTTAATTTTTATTTTTTATACAAAAAATATCATTGAAATATTATGCTTTGCTACGTACATAAAAATTTTCATTATGATATTTTGTTACCTAAACTTTTCATATTTTACATATTGATCCAAGGTCGAGGATGTCATTTGGATTCATTGATAATCCACCAATCCACTTAATCCAATCCATGAATCCCCCAATCCATTTAATCCAATCAATTTGATCCATAGATCTACCAATCCAATCTATCAATCCATGAATCCAATCCATTTCCCACCTCCCAAAACATTAATCAAGACCATTAGCACACAAAAAGCGGTGAAGCGGTGGTATCCATGATCAAATCAAATCTTCAGTAAACCAAATTTCAAGGACATAATTATCAATCCACATTATGTTAATCATATTCGCTTAAAATTAAAGATATGCATTATGCAGTGCAATTTCTACCGCAAAACAAGAAACAAAAGCATGCAGAGAGAAGAATGTTCAAAGGCACGACCCGATCGATTTGGTCAATTTCTCCATCTCTTTTTTTAGATTTCTTAATACATTGAACCACGACCCAGTAAGACCACTGACTGACACTGCCCACCTGCTGCTCATCATAAACTCACTTTCCAGCCACCATGTTTGATATTTCACTACTACGTAGTAATTAAAAAACCCTAATATTATATCATTGCTTCGATCAGAACAACATTATATTAGACATACATATAACCGGTTGATTGATTAATTAGCTAATAAAACCCTCATATAAATTAATATTACAGGAAGCTTAATCGTAGATCCAGCGGCGGATGTTCCATTTCTGAACTGAACCCACAAGAGAACCCACGAGCAGCTGCTGCTTCCTTACGCCCATAGTAGTACTGATGATGATGATCAGCAGCGTCGTTGAAGGAATTTAATGGAAACAGCTGAAGCGTTTCTATCACTCTTTCAGCTTTTGCTGCTGGCGGCTCCTCGTTATAATACTGAAGCTGCCTGTTATGGCTCATCTCTGAAAAATCTGCACCAAAAATGAACAAACCCATATTTAGTAACGACTTTAGATATGAACATTTTTCAACCACTCGAGTTATTGAAATTAATTGTATTAGAGTTGGTTTGTATTTCAGTTTATTTGTTCAAATCCTCGCAACCTAAAATATTAATCTTAAAGGCATGTGCAAACTTCACACTCATGATTTGGTTTTTATTTTGTAAGAAAATCGTTAAAATACCATACCTAAATCTCTTTTTATTTATTATTGAAATCTGTTGGTTTATGACGAAAAATTAGTAGGGTTGAAGAAACGACGAGTTAACGTACATCTAGCGGAGGAGGAAAAGGGATCGTCGCGGCGGATGAGGTTGGAGGGTGGGGATATGATTGACGAGGAGGAGAGAACGACGTCGTTGTCGTCGAGGTTGACGCGGCGGCGTTTCTGGCGCTCGCGGGCCTTGTGGTTCTGGAACCAGTAGAAGACGTTCTTGCTCTCGATCTTGCCGTAGAAGCTGAGCTGGCTGGATATCTTCTGGATCTGGTCGGTGCTGGGGGTTCGGAGCCCCGACCGGAAGAGCTCCGTCAGGACCTTGACCTGCTCCGCCGTCGGGTTCCACCGCCCGCACTTTGTCCCGCTGCCGTAGTCGTTGCTGTTGTTCTTGTTGTTGTTGCTGTTGCGCAGATGGGTTCGAGCTTTGGCGATGCAGAATCCTGACATTCTCTCTTCCATGGGTTTCACACACACAATTTCTCTCTCTCTCTCTCTCTAGA